CCCCGTGTGTGTGTGTGTGTGTGTGTGTGTGTGTGTGTGTGTGTGTGTGTGTGTGTGTGTGTGTGTGTGTGTGTGTACGCGGATGTGGATGTGGATGTGGACGTGGATGTGGATGTGGATGCCGTGTCGTGTGTTGTGGTGTGGTGTGGTGTGGTGTGGTGTTGCTGACCCCCCCGGGTGGTGAGCCCCCTTGTGCGCTGCCCGCCGGGCTGCTGCCGGTGCTCTGCAGCCCATCGGGGCGCCCCGCAGGCCAGGGTTCGGAGTGCAGTCCCAGAGTGGCTCCGCCAGGGCGGCCGCGGCCGTGCCGCGCCGCGGGACCGCGACCTCCTCCTCCCCCCCCCCCCTTCCCCTCCCCTCCTCCTCCTCCTCCTCCTCCTCCTCCTCCTCCCCTCCTCCTCCTCCTCCTCCCCTCCTCCTCCTCTAATCCTCCTCCTCCTCCCTCTCTCCTCCTCCTTCCTCTCTCCCTCCTCCTCTCTCTCCTCCTCCTGCTCCTCCTGCTCCTGCTCCTGCTCCTGCTCCTGCTCCTGCTCCTGCTCCTGCTCCTGCTCCTGCTTCTCTCTCCTCCTCCTCCTCCTCCTCCTCCTCCTCCTCCTCCTCCTTAGTAGTGGGAGGGGGGGCCGATCAGAGGGGGGCGAAGATCAGTTCACCTTTCGCGCACCTTTGGGGCTCAGGGGGCCCCCTTGGAGGCTGTTAGGTTGCACCAGAAGCGCACCTCTCCTTAACCCCCCATGTATCGCCCCTCTCCCCACTCCGCATTGCCCGACTCCCGGCTCTGGCGCTGCCGGAGGTGCTCCGCGGCCCGAAGCGAGCCCCCTGCTGCTGGTCGCGCGGGGGGAAGTCGGGCTCCTCGTCGCGCGGAGAACCCAGAATTGCGCAGATGGGCCCCTCTGCTCCTCCATCACCCTCCTCCTCCACCTTCTCCTCCTCCTCCTCCTCCTCCTCCTCCTCCTCCTCCTCCTCCTCCTCCAACCTCTCGCAAGCCTCCAGCCTCCAGCCGTCAGTCCCTCCTCCTCCTCCTCCTCCTCCTCCTTCTCCTCCTCCTCCTCCTCCTCCTCCTCCTCCTCCTCCTCCTCCTCCTCCTCCTCCTCCTCCTCCTCCTCCTCCTCCTCTCTGCCTCCTCCTCCTCCCCCTCCCCCTTCCAGCCTTTCGCAAACCTCCAATATCCAGCCTCCAGGTTCCTCCTCCAGCCTGTCGCAAACCTCCAGGCTCCAGGCTCCAGGCTCCTCGTCCTCCTCCCTCTCCTCCTTCTCCTCCTCCTCCTCCTCCTCCTCCTCCTCCACCCGATGGACTCCGCGACGGGGCGGGAAGCTTGGGACCTCTCGGGCCTCAGAAGGGGCGCGCTTCGGGCCATCGGGGGCGGAAGGCACCTGTGCCAACGCCCGACTCTCATGTGTGAGATCGCACGCTGGGCTGGCGAGGTGGCTCCGCCACAGCGGTGCGGCCATGCTGCGGAGTTGCGATCTCTCCGGGAGCAGAAGAAGACAATCGGCGGCGAGCGAGGGGGGGGGAGGAGGAGGAGGAGGAGGAGAAGGAGGAGGAGGGGGAGGAGGAGGAGGAGGAGGAGGAGGAGGAGGAGGAGGAGGAGGAGGAGGAGGAGGAGAAGGAGGAGAGAAGGAGAAGGAAGAGGAGGAGGAGGAGGAGGAGGAGGAGGAGGAAGAGGAGGTGGAGGATGATGATGATGATGATGATGAGGAGGAGGAGGAGGAGGAGGAAGAGGAGGAGGGGGAGACGCAGTCCGGATGCCTCGGCACCTGTCAGCTCTCTGTCATTCGTGGGCCTGGTGTTCGCTTTGCGAAATCAACCTGGCGCTGCTGGCGCGTCGGAACGGCGAAACGACGGGTCCCCTACGGGACCCATGGCTTTTTAGCCCTCTGGCCCGCTACAGCGCGGGGCCTGCCCAAAGACAAAATCGTTATGGAACGGCAGAGGTTTAGGGCCTTATGGCCTATCACCTCTGTCTCGGAACGGATCTCGACTAGTCGCGGTCCACCACCTCCCCCCCCTTCCCCCCGCTCCCCGACCACCATTACGTGCTGCTCCTAAGCGCTCGGCCGCAAAGCACTGGTGAGCTGTCCTGAAACGTCCCACCCGCGGCGCGGTGGCCCCGAGGGCCCTCGAGAGAAACGGGCCCGAACCAGGGGGGCAAGCACCGCGGGTCCCACAAAGAAGAACACGCCCCCAAGGCACCAGGGACCTGGACCAGGGCTATCACCTGTGCTTAACTAATTCACGGTTGGGGGTGGTCTCATCTCACGATCGGTCTCTCGCTTCTGTCGGTGGCTGCTGTGTCAACCTCCTCAAGAGTTCAAGCGCGCGTCTGCTGCCTGATCTCGCGGGGCTTCGCAATCCTGGAATCTCTACCCCTCCATCAGCTGCTGCCGCGCTCGCAGGGCTGCTTGAAGCTGTCGCTCTAGGCCCGACGGCGGCGGCGCCCCGAAGATCTGCTCGGCCCCTGCTGCGCGCAGAGTCTCGACCACCGCCTTCCTGAGGTCGCCTATCTGGTGGGCGCGGCTGATCTTGACGGGCACCTCCTGGTTTCCTTCTCGAATTGCGTTGGTCTGCTCCCCCCACTTGTCGTTCCAGGGGCTGCTGGCGAGGTTGTTGAACATGAGGTAGAGCTCCCAGCGTTCTGGTTGCCCCGCCTCCGAGTACGGCTTCTTCACCTTGAAGCATCTCACGATGTCGCCGAAGCCCTGCATGCCCAGCACGTCGATCAAGAGACGAAAATCCGACAGGATCACCTCTTGGCCCCCCTCGGCCTTGTCGTTGACCCCCACCCCCAGGAAGAAGTCGACCCCGATGTGGAGGTGAGGCGGCCCCAGGGCCTTGGCGCCCTTCTCCTTGGTTTTCCCTGCGTATGTGGTCCCTGCCGCCACCGCTGCGGCCGCCGCTGGAAGTCCGCCTGGGATCAGGAAGAAGTCCCACAGGCTGCCTGAGAGCTGCCGCATCACCTGCGCGCTGTCGAGAGTGGCGTCGCCTGAGCCATGCTCTCTTCCAGTGGCCTTATTCTGGCCTCCACGTGCTTGCATCTGCCGTTGTTCCAGCGATGCTGCTGCCGCCTCCACCACCTGGCTGCGCGGTCTGCCGCCGCTCGCTGCGGCGCGCCGCGACGTCGCAAGGTCCAGGACAATGGCCAGCAGCGTGACTGAGATGATTCTCGATGTTCGAGTCTTCGCGGCCACAGCAGCCGCGCGTGTAAACGTCCCGCTCTCCGGGCGAGAATGCAAATGAAGTGGCTCGAGTTGGGCGACGCAGCGGCGACGATTTGGACGCGGTGATGACGCGTCAGAGGCATGAAGCTCTGCTCGCGAACGCTGTGCTACACCAGGGGCACACGTTCGCGCTGATGACCATGGAGCGCAGGTTTCTCATGTGATGAGCGTGCGCGATGTGCGCCGTAAGTGCCTTTACCGTCGTGAATGGCATCCCGCGCCGCATGCCCTCGCCCCCCTCCCCCATCTCGTGCGTGCGCGCGTACTCGCCGATGATGCTGCTGCCGTCATCTGCGTTCTCGGCATCGCTCTGGCGCTCTCCGAACAGGTGGCTGGGGAATGGCCCGAAGGTCGCAATGTCTAGGCAGTGTAGTGAACGGGCAACTCGCAAGGCCCCTTCGGGACTAAGGAGGTGACGCACGGTGCCAACCTTGATTTTGTCGAACTGTCTGCCGGCCTCGGGGTCCTGAAAGATCTTCATGAGATTGTCCCGATCCTCCCAAATGACGTCGAAACGTGGGTCCGCATTCGCGAGGGCCTCCAGGTCGTCTCTGAACTGCAGGGCCTCCAGGTCGTCTCTGTGCTCTGTGATCCCCCCATCGGCGGCGAGCCTCGGTCGGTCGAGAAGTCTGTCGATTTCCAGAGCCCCAAACATGGCTGCCAGACCTTGCGCGCGCTCAGACGGGGCCCTTGCGATCTGCTGCCGCCACCTCAATCGCTGCACTCGGAGCTCGGTGGCTGTGCGACTAATGCCCCAGTGTCGCAAGTCTGCGCTATGTGTCATTGTCCTGACTCGCCCCTCGCATTCGGCCTTAGCCATGCCATGCATCAAGAAGCGGAGCGTTCTGACCAGCACAGAGTCGAGCTTACCTGTGAACTCCGATGGCAAGACAAACGAAGTAAGGCCCGCGATCGCGGCGCTGTGCACAAAGCACAGGAAGGGCGTGAGAAACAACTTGGGGTGACGCGGCTGTCTCCAGATTGCGCCTAAAGATCTCCACGCGGATCGGGCTCCTTTGACGCGGTTCTTCAGCTCTGTCCTTGAGATCCCGTCGAAGCTGAGGATCGGTCCGAGTGTCCTGGCTTCCCGGCAAACTGCCCCCTGGACTCGTTTTTGCCGAGCAAAATCCCCGGAGGCTTCAAAGGGCCCCGCCCCGCGCCAGCTGACGAGGTGGTTGGTCTTATATGCGTTCAAGCAGTGCCCATTCTGCTGCATGTGCGTCTGTCGCTCGCGCGTGGCGCGATTCAGCTGCTGTACGATGCAGCGTGCGCGCGGAGCACATGCATGCATGTGCACGCGCGAAACGTCGTCCACGAAAAGACCAACTCCTACGTCGACTACCTCGTTAGAAACAGGACATCGGCCATTCAGCCAAGTTTAGCTGGCGTCGGCGCCTCCGAGCTGCACGCTCCACCCTGAGATCGTGGGAGAGCAACACTATCTACGAAACCACCTGCTGCAAGAAAGTGCCCCATCGTGGTGCCGCTGTGAATTAGAGAATCAGCAGCGCCATCGTGAGCTTCAGCGTGTCCTGTTGCTTGCCTAATGGATTGCTGGAGTAGCTGAACGTTTGCTCGCCATGCTGTGCGTTCGTGACGTTCGTCTAACCTGCAAATGCAAATTCCACTGCGTTGGTGCCGTCGTGCATGCAAACGCGTCGGTGCCGCCGTAGTTGCTAATCGCGTGGCTCAGCTTGGTTTGCCTACATCTCCAGCTTGCTGCCGAGAGGCTCAAGATACACCTTTCCCGCCCACGCCCCTGAAGCCCGCCGCGGGCAAAGTCTGGGGGCGTCGGTATTCTGGATGATCTCTGAAGCTGCCCGAAGTAAGGCGTGCCGAATGCGTCAAAACAATGGAGGGTTCGCTGGCCCTGGACCCCATTCTTCCGGTCACCTTTGGCCCGCGAAAAAGACTGGGAGCGGATAGCGCTAAGCGGAACTGATCCGACCAGGCGGATGAGCGCAAGGAGTTCGTCATACCTCCTGCTGAACTGCTCAGGAATCGACTTGCGGTCGCGCTCGTTCACGCAGCGGCTCCTGTCGGTGCACATGCACAGAGCTTCTGCTAGCACCCCCCAAGCTCGTCCTGCTCGCCTCTTGGGGGGCCCGCCTCAAGCATCGAACCTGCCCTGCGCGGTCCAGTCGCACCAGGTCACGTTGATCTGCGCTGTGGGTCGAGCCGAAGAGGTGCGGCATAAAGGCTCGGTCGGCGATCCACTCTTACCAGTCGATCCGCTCGCGCTGCGTGCCTCCCTCCTGCGGTAGACGCCCGAGCCCTTCTTCCCACTGCTGAACTGCCATGCCCGTCCGCGGCGCAGAGAGGTTGCGCTTCTTCGGTCCCCTGCCAGCGTTGGCTAAAGTCACGCGTAGACGGTGAAGCTCTGCGTGTCGGTGATGTTTCCAGGCTTCGTCGATTTGGTCAACCACCTTCTCGGCCTTCTCAATCTTCTGCCACCTGCGCAACCTCTGCATGCGTCGAGAGATCACTTTGAGCTGGCTGTCGGTCTGGTCGAACTCAGTGGAGCCGCCCCTTTCGAAAGACTTGCTACCGGCGTGATGGGCTGCTGCTCGAAGTCGTAATCTGTCCTGCAGGAGTTGGACGCGGTGTTGCCTCGTCTCCCCGTAACCGATGATGGCATGCTCCTGTCTGGGGTTGGTATCCTGCATCGCTTCGCTAATGTGGTTGGGTAGGAGGTCCCACCATCGTTGTACATTTCCTTGGTCCCATGCTTGTCGCCATTCAGCTTCTGGAATATGTCGTGTTTCTCTTCCACTTGCTGCAAAAACTCCAGCCGCTTGTGCCTTCGGGAGTATGTCAACATCATCAGGTCACGATTCGCTAGCGCGTGAGCTTGCTCGTGTGGGTCCTTGTGATTTGCACGTCCAGGTTCATGTAGATTGGCACGTGGCCATGCAAGTACGCGGAGACGTGGAGCTGGAGCCGTCGTGCGAGCCCGAAGAGCGGGCTGATCTGGCGGACCCTGTCGAGGGCGGTCACGGGCAGCGCAATGTGGTCGATCTTGCTGGTGTGCGCGCCCTTGTCATATGCTGGACCTGTCCGTCGGAAGGTCTCTGCAACTGCCAAGTGGTTGCCCTCTGCGAAGTCCCGCAACTGTTGGCTCGTGGCGCTCTCCAGCGCGGGCTCCTCGGTGCCGATGTGGTCCGTGGCCTCGATGTATTTGCGCCCCGTGGTGTCCCTGCGGATCCCAAAGGCGCAGTTGTAGTCCCCCAGGACAATCGGCAAGCAGTTGTGGCCCAGCTTGTCTATCTCCTGTTGCGTCCAGCGTGGGATGGTGCGAGTGCTGCCCTTGTGCGTGTTAGCGGCCAGGCCCTTCGGCGGGATGTCAATGGGGAGGAACGCAACGCACGTCGTGCCCCCGGTGACGCTGATCATTCCGACGCGGCCTGTGATGCCGCTCCGCGGCGGCGGCACCGCGACGTGCTGCGTCTTGCCGCTGAGCCGCTTGCTCAGCAATATGGCCATGCCGCAAGAATTGTTCACACTTGCGGCCTCCCTCCATCCGAACTGGATGCACTGGTGGCTCGGCAACTGGCACTTCGTGACGTCAGCGTCTCTCGCGCCTCGTCCTGTGCCGATGGCAACGTACACGTCTATGTTACCTGTCTGCTGGGAAATCTCCCCCAGGCGTGTGGAAACTGCCCACTGCACATGGTGAAATACGATCCTCGTGTCTGACTGTATGATGAGGCGCGCAAGAGAAACAAACAATCAAAAAACAAATGGTGGCGGGGTTCGGTAGCGGACTGCTGAGTGAGGTTCCTCGCTGCCGCCCGAGCGGCCCCGTTCCCGTCATGGGCCGCTCGCGGGTGCCTGGGCCGTGGCGGCTGAGGGGGAGGAGGAGGAGGGGAGGAGGAGGAGGAGGAGGAGGAGGCGGAGGAGGAGGAGGAAGAGGAGGAGGGGGAGGAGGAGGAGGAGGGGGAGGAGGAGGGAGAAAAAGGCCTGCTCAGAAGGTTGCGAAGAACCCTGGCATCCTGAGAAGTTCTTGTGAAGCCTTCCCCGAACAAACAGAACAAGAACACAACAACATAACAAAACAACCAAACGCTCGAAGGCGCGAGGGCCTCTGAGAAGTCCCCGCCGCCTTCTGAGAAGGTCTTCTCCTTCTCATTTCCCTTCCTCGCTCGCCGCCAAGCTGCATCAGCACAAACTTCTTGGAGTCCTTCGCAGATTTGCAGGGGTCAGCGCTGGGCTGACTACCTACCAGCGTGGCTATGCCACGTGGTGCGGCCGTGCCGCGGGTCTGCATGGCGGGCCGCCGGCCCTGCCACATCGGGCGAACCCCTGCGAACTGTTCCGCGCCCGAGCGCGTCTGGGGGGGCGATGCGAAGTCGGTCGCCCTCCTTCATTGGTGCGTGCGGGGGGGGGGGCACCCCTCCCCGTACTCCTTGTCCTCCTCCTTTTCCTCCTCCTCCTCCTCCTTCTCCTCCTCTTCCTCCTCCGCATGTTCTTCCTCTTCTTCCTCCTCCTCCTCATCCTCATCATCATCAGCAGCAGCAGCACCATCATGATAAGCATCATCAGCAGTAGCAGCAGTAGCAGCAATAGCAGCAGTAGCAGCAGTAGCAGCAGTAGCAGCAGTAGCATCAACATCATACCAGTGGACAGCATCATCAACATCATCATCACGATCAGCATAAGCATCGTCGTCATCATCACCACCGTCTCCATCACCATCGGCAACAGCATCAACAAGATCGTCATCACCACCGTCGTTGCCATCAAGCCAATTATCATAATCATAAGTCCCACCATCGACAACACCATCAGCATCGTCGTCGTCAGCATCCTCGCCACCATCAGCATCATCACCACCAAAAGCAGCATCCTCATAATCATCATCAGCAGCAGCAGCAACATCATCATGATCATCAACATCATCATAAACATCAGAATCATCACCATCATCCGCATCACTATCAGCAGCTGTATCAGCATCATCAATATCATCAGCATCATCGGCATCATAGTCTGCATCATCATTATCATCAGTATCATCATCATCAGCAGCATCGCCATCATCATCAGCATCCGCATCATCAACATATTCAACATCATCATCAGCATCCTCTTTATCATCATCATCCTTATCCTTCTCAGCATTAGCACCAGCATCACCATTATCATCATCAGCACCATACTCATCATTTGCAGCATCACCATCCTCACCATCTCAATCATCGTCAACAGCATCAACGTCAATATCATCACCACCATCATCAGCAGCAGCATCAGTACCAACAATACCAGCATTATCATCACCAATCACACCGTCTCAGTCGTGCTCATCATCATCATCAGTATCAGCAGCATCATCGTCATCATCACCATCAGCAGCATCAACATCATCGTCATCAGCATCATCATCATCATCAGTAGTCCCATCCCCATCCCCATCAACAGCTTATCCGCATCATGCTCCGCACCATCATCCTCATCAGCATCCTAATCATCACTATCACCATCATCAACATCACCATCACCACCATATCCCTCATCCCGCAATCGTTCCTCCATCCCTCGTCGTTCCGTCTCATCCTCCCCTCCTCCTCCTCCTCCTCCTCCTCCTCCTCGTCATCATCATCATCAACATCATCACCACCATCATCCTTCTCATCATCCTCCGCCTCATCACGGCCCTCCTCCTGTCTAACTGTATCCATCCATGCCCCCTGCTGCTTCGCCATATCCCGCTCCTCGCCCGCCCACCTCATCTCCTCATCCTCCTCCTCCTCATTCCTTCTCCTCCTCATTCCTTCTCCTCCCCATCCCGCGAAACACCCGTCAGCCTTCTCCTCCTCACCGTCATCTACCTCCGCAGGTCCTCCACCTCCGCCCCATTTCTGTTTAATCCCTACTCTCGCACATCCTTCTGCCCTCCTCCTCCTTCTCCTCCGCCTCCTCCTCCTCCTTCTGCTACCCCCCTACTCCCCTCCCTCCCCTCCCCTCCCAATCCCACCAGCCCTCACCTTCCCTCCCATCCACTCCCTCCTCCCTCTCGCCCTCCTTCTCCTCCTTCTTCTCCTTCTTCTTCTCCTTCTCCTCCTCCTCCTCCTCCTCCTCCTCCTCTCTCTCCTCTCCTCCTCCTCCTCCTCCCCCTTCTCCTCCTCCTCCTCCTCCTCCTCCTTCTCCTCCTCCTCACCACCACCACCACCACAACCGTCACCACCGACACCACCATCAGCATCATGATCATCA